AAACGTATTTCATCTATATGGCAGGCATAAGGAAGAAGAGGAGAGCACGTAGAAGATCATACGTCAGCTAAAGTTCAGATGATTTGATTTTTAATGATTGAGAGCTATTGAACCAATTTTACTTTACTTACTGAATGGATTCTTTTTAACCCTATGGTGTAGAGGTTTGCCAGAGATGTCATTTTTTTCCGTAAGAGCAGTTTGTGTGTATGTGTGTGTGCGTGCACACGCGTGCATGTGTAGCTTTATTCCATTTGAGTCTTCTTTCAGCCAGGGACTGTCGATGTTACCTACCCAGCGAACCTTGTTTCGTCCTAATGGTATGGCTTCCTTGTTCTTGGCCTACCATGTCTGCAACAGTGGACGATTCTCTCCTGTTCTGCACATATGTCCAAAGCATCATAAATCTGATTGATCCACTCGATTTTGTAAGGCTTGGGGTTCAAGATCATGACGAACTGTCTGGTTGCGAACGTTGTCCTTTTTTGTCATTCCGACCACCTTTCTCAGATACCTCATTTACCAGGTATGAATTTGGCTTCAGTGAGCTGTTGTCATTACCCACGTCTCTTTTTGTGTGTGTGTGTGTGTGTGTGTGTGTGTGTGTGTGTGTGTGTGTGTGTGTGTGTGTGTGCCAATTTCTCTATTGGACAATAAAATTTGAAAATGAAGAAGTCAAAAAAGTTTGTAATATGCAAATATGTACAAGTAATCAAAAGAAGCCGCCATTAAACTCAGAAATGCACGTTGTATTATGAAATATACTTTCATAATTATGTTTCGTGTGTCTTCCGGGCACTAATTAATTCGCTAATGGCTGTCTCGTCGTATTATTAATCTTGACAGGTATGATGTGTATGCATACTGATTTTATTTAACCATCTTTAGGTGTGTATTGCGTTATTTAACACTATATGTGCGTATATTGATTTTGTTTACCAATATTTAGGCGTATATTGTAGGCATATATTGAGCTGCCGGTCAAGTATGACTCCAAGGTATGTAGGATACTCTTCTTTCATCACTTGGTGTTTGTCTACCCTCTGGTTAATTTTTTTCCTTGCTACTTGATGGCTTTTGGTAAAGACTGTGTAGACCATCTTTGTATAGTTAACCTTGAGTTTCCATCTTTGGCAGTACTTAGTAGAGAAAGTTCTTCTTTGTCTTCTTCTACTGTATAATTTTTCGTTTCATCATCATCGTGTGTGCGTGGAGGAGGAAGGGTTGGGTGGGTGCGTGCGTGCCTCTATGTCTGCGTGCGTGTGCGTTTGCCCGCACGTACTGAAGAGTTTTTCGTGTTGCTCTTTCTAATGTGTTCAATGAGATTATTTTTGTTTCTTAGAGACTGTTCTTGAAACCGCTATTCTATCCGTTGTGGGGTTTTCTCCTTGTTGAGTGCGCATTAAATTTTTTCAGTGACGCTCACTGTGGCATTTCGCACCAGCGAACTCTCATCAGATGGGCCAGTCCTAGTCCTACTCTGACTCTTTTGTTTTCAATTGTATCCTTCTTTACTCCGGCAGCTCTTCTGAGACATCTTATCTTTGTGGTTAATTTGCGCTCATTAGTTGTTGTAATGGTTTTGAAACTCGTACCATACAACACATTGTAGAATAGTTCTTCTGAGCTATAGCTTCGTAAACAGGGATATACTTATCAGCAATGATGATAGCTGTTCCATCAGAAAAAGTCATTACTGTTCATAATTATTAGAAGAGTAACACACACAGCGAGCACGGAAACTAGTGATAAAAAAAACATGAACTTTTATTTTTAAAAATGGCACACGTTATTAAACATGGGACAATTAAATAAATCTGCAACATTGTAATGTTATAGGCTGCACGGTTATGAATTTAAAAGAAAACATGATGAAATCAGCTACACTGAGAATCAGTTATTTGAATATGAATCATGGGCAACCAAGGAACCGCGGTAGAACTGTAGCTAGACGTTTACTTGCCAACCCGAAGGTCGATTGTTCGAATCAGCATAGTAGTTTGTTTACATATATGGTTTCAACTCCCTGGTCGACGCAGTCTCAAACGGGTAACAGAAAAAATATTGTTTAGTGGAGAGTCACTACATGATCTATATGGTACAGATTGGCCTTTATAAGACGTAGGGACTGCAGTATAGGTCGTATGTGTCAGGGGCGTGAAAAAGGAACCCTCATATATATATATATATATATATATATATATATATATATATATATATATATATATATATATATATAGTAAAAATAAAACTGTTTTTCTGTTGTAAATTTAAGTAATTTCGAACACAAACACCACATAGCACAATTTATTGTCTTGCATATTTCGCTGTATACCATCGGGTGCATTACTACAGAGTTAAATCCGCTCATAATGAAGCACAGCAATGAGTCATTCATTCCCTACCAACTACCATCCTACTCAGAAAACGCATCGACCCTAAGAAGTGCTAAAGGGCTATGTAAGCAGAAACAACGTGGACAGTAGGGGCTACAAGTCTGATGAACTCTCACGTAGAGTCTCGTCCATCAAAGTATTAATCACGTTCAATAAACACTTTGCGCTCTAGAGTCTAGATGCCTCTGGCATTCTGTGTATGTATATATGTATATGTATGTGTGGGCGTATCTTTGTGTGTGTGTGTTTGTGTGCGTGTGTGTTTAATAAGTACAGTACAATTTTTTCAGTTTGTAGTCATCTCACCAATATAGTCTTACTAGAAAGAACCTGTAATTGTGAACAACATTACAGGAATAGTTAACAACCAAAAAAATTAATTAAAAAAAAAAAAACTTGTAAGCTTCAGAGGAAGATCTAACTATTATGTGTGTGTGTATATGTGTGTGTGCGTGCGTGAGTGCGTGCGTGCATGTGTGTGTGTGTGTGTGTGTGTGTGTGTGTGTGTGTGTGTCGACACAAGCGACTGAGCTCGTCAAATCTTTTCTGTGTGAAATATGGGTACTAGAACACTCAATAAGCAAAACACCTTTCTAAAGATGTACATCATCAGCATCATCCATATCATAATTATGTTAACCTAGATCAAACAGCGGTGTTTGGAGTCTCTGGCCAACCACACACCTTCCTGAGGTGAACATTCTTAGGTGTACAAAATATAGCCCTAACCGCCGACGCAACTTTTGTGTTTGGAAAAAAGAAAAGCATTGCGCACGGGAAAGACCTTATATTCCATATTGCTCAGCACGGGACAGAGAGCCCGGTGTGTAGCAGTGAAAGGGTTAATACGCCTGCTATAGTATTTCCACCTTATTCAATCAATTCAGTTTCTGGCTGTTCTCCGAATAACGGCCACATATTATGGCGGCCAAAAACAGGGCCTCAGTCACATGTAAATTGCAGACCTCCGGTGACTTGAATTGCGCACTTCCAACGACTTGTTTAGTTCTCTTCTAAAACTCCACATTAGTTATTCTATCATGTCATTTAATGTCATCTGTTCTGTGCAAGCGTCACCTAATGAATGTTTGTAGTTTATTAGTAACTATCTTAGTTGTTCTCCATGTTTCCACTTCATACAACAATACTGATTTGACATTAGAATTAACATTTTAAGTTTGTTATTAGTTTTAATTTCTTTTGACGTCCACAAATTTCCAAGTACTGGGAAAGTTTCTCTTGCCTTTTTGAATTCGTATTTTAATATTTCTACTATTTTCCCTGTAAATTTCGGACTTCCGGCGACTTAAATTGGGCACTTCCAGCGACTTCTGCCACCGCCGAGAGTATCTCGTGCATTGGGGCTAAACTAGATGGCTGGGACTCACGAGCAAAGCTGCAGGAGACGCGGAAACTGCTGCTCGGGAGTCACAGTCATCTAGTTTAGCCCCAGTCCACGCCGCGCGTAGCGACGTATGAGATACACCCAGCGGTGGCGGTAGTCACCGGAAGTTCGCAATTTACATGTGACTGAGGCCCTGTTTGGATGTTTTTGTGGTCGCCATAATATGGTTGTTATTCGGAGGATAGCCCAGTTTCTTTGCAAAAACATGTTATTCCTAGTCTTTTTGTTTGTTCTGACCATTGTTTTAAAAATTTCAAAGCAGCTGTTAAAAATACGACTTCAGTTTTTACCTTCTCTCCTCCGCACCCTTTTTTTTTTTCTTTTTTTTTCTTTACTCCCGCTTCTACTTTTTTTTTTTCGTTCAGTCTTTCTCTCTTTCTTTTTCTTTATAATGTTCTGCATCTATTCCTACTACAACCCCCTTCCACTATTGCTACCACTATAACAGTATTTCTACTGCATGTTCCTCTGATGTTCGGTATATGAAGCTATGCAAACCATTTGCAAATAAACAGTCATGATCATCATCATCATGTAGCACGTCCTTTGCAGAACGCCGCTTCCATCACGTTCTCTCGCCAGCTTTCCCGCCCCGTGTACTTTCGTATTTCAAGTCACTTATGTCTTATGCCCATCTTCGTGTTGATCTGCTACCATGCCGTCTGTTATTATATTTTTATTCCAAACCACCATTGCGTTTGATATGACCAAAATATGTCAGCTTCAAGGACAAAATACTGTTTATTAGCTAGTATTCCTTGATGTTTATATCTTTGAAAATGTCAGTATTTCTTCTCTTCTTTGTCCATAGAATTCTGAGAACTAAACAGTACTAAAACTATTTGTTTTTGTCATCTTTCAATCTTTGCAGCAGATAGTGTAATGTTCTGCTTTAAGGAGGCATGAAAATCGCAGCCCATGGCAATGGCGAGTGCGACTAGTAAGACTCGAACGCGTTAAGAAACAAACTTCCACAATTGGAGCACGGTATGCTTCTTCTCGGATGCTCAGCTCTCGTTCTTTTTCTTTCTGCAATAAAGTTTTCCTTTATTCTCATTTCATTCCCGATGGCCTGCCCCCCCCCCCTCTTTTTTTTCCACGCAACTGTATAAATATGTCTGTATGTATATGTCTGCATACCTGCATGTGAACTGCCTAGTCATTGTTTCATATTGATTTAATTTCTTTTTTGTTTTTAGGGATCATTCTGAACGACTTTGCTGACGAAATCATCCTAGACCCAAAGCTGATTGCTAAACAGTACCTGAAGACCTGGTTTTTCCTGGATCTGCTCAGCTCCATCCCTATGGATTACATCTTCCTGATGTGGGACTCTGAAGCAGACTTCAACCAGCTCTTCCATGCAGGTACGTACCTCAAGTAGGACACACCCATGTAATGACAAGGTGATCAATGTTTCAGTGGTTGACTGCTGTAAGGCAAGCTATCTTGTGTCTACTTGCCCTACGCTTTTTTTTTTTTTTTTTTTCATCTCTCTATGGTAGTCTCCAGTAGACATATGCAGAATAGATCGCTTGAAATTGTGGTTTCATTTTTCCTATAAACGTTTACATGGGTAAGTACAAAATCCTTTGCGCAAACAATTGCGCATCACTTCCACGTTTCTTCTTCTGCGTTTACTTCAATTTAACGTTCACCAGCGGTTATTACCGGCTAAAAAGTAATGATTGTGAAGATTTCATAACAAATAACTTTTTAAAAAAAAACAAAAAAAAAAAAAACGTGTAACCTTAAATACTGATGCGCGATCATATTAAGACAATTCAAACTAAAATTAAAAGGAAGTAACTGAAGAACAATTTAGGTGACTAAAGACGGCAACACGCGGAACGAAAAAAAAAACGTTCTTAAAGGAGCTGACTGCAAGATGAATTTCTAGAAATAAAAAATATTTGTCACTGACTAAAAATGAAGCTTGTGACATCGTACATTGAAAACAACAATTAAATGTGTTGCAGCCGTGAACCAATAAACTGACGAGCTAACAACTACATCTGATTAAAACAACTATAGCTTCGTCTTCTTTTTCTTCTTCTTCTTCTTCTTCTTCTTCTTCTTCTTCTTCTTCTTCTTCTTCTTCTTCTTCTTCTTCTTCTTCTTCTTCTTCTTCTTCTTCTTCTTCTTCTTCTTCTTCTTCTTCTTCTTCTTCTTCTTCTTCTTCTTCTTCTTCTTCTTCTTCTTCTTCTTCTTCTTCTTCTTCTTCTTCTTCTTCTTTTTCTGTATCTTCTTCTTCTTCTTCTTTTTCTCTATTTTCTTCTTCTTCTTCTTCTTCTTCTTCTTCTTCTTCTTCTTCTTCTTCTTCTTCTTCTTCTTCTTCTTCTTCTTCTTCTTTTCTTCTTCTTCTTCTTCTTCTTCTTCTTCTTCTTCTTCTTCTTCTTCTTCTTCTTCTTCTTCTTCTTCTTCTTCTTTTTCTTCTTCTTCTTCTTCTTCTTCTTCTTCTTCTTCTTCTTCTTCTTCTTCTTCTTTTTCTTTCTCTTCTTCTTTTTCTTTCTCTTCTCCTTTTTCTTTTCTTCGTCTCAGTCATCGTCATCGTCTTCTTCTTCTTCTTCTTTTTGTCTTCTTTTTTTCTACTTTTTTCTTTTTCGTCTTCTTCTGCTTCTTCCCATGTACTCCTACCTTTCCTAACATCCTAACATCAGTCTCTAGCTCCCTATTTTTTTAAAGGCGGGTAAAGAGCGGGGGGGGGGGGGGGGGGGGGGGAGGGGGTTACTATGTCTCTGAATATATGGGTTCTAGTGCAACGGCATTCTAGTTATAATGTTCTCAGGTTTCTACAATATGTTTCCTTGCTTTTCTTCACCTCTTGGTCCATTCCAACTTGTTTAGTTCCCTCCTAAAAACTCCACATTAGTTATTATATCATGCCATTTAATTTCATCTGTTCTGCGCAAGCGCCACCTAATGAATGTTTGTAGTTTATTAGTAACTGTCTTAGTTGTTCTCCATGTTTCCACTTCATACAACAATACTGATTTGACATTAGAATTAACATTTTAAGTTTGTTATTAGTTTTTAATTTCTTTTGACGTCCACAAATTTCCAAGTACTGGGAAAGTTTCTTTTGCCTTTTTGTATTCGTATTTTCATATTTCTACTATTTTCCCTTCTTTATCTGTATTAAGATTTATCTGTATTAAAACAACACAAGCTAGAGAGGAAAAAAATTTGTAGCACAACTAAGTATGTTTTATAAACTTTTTAACGGCATTCTCCTTTTCTACTCTACATCTTCTTTGGTATTCATTTCCCCCTCATCCTTATCCTCCTCATCCTCAACCATTTTCATACTCTGCATCTTCTTACTTTTCTTCTTCCTCCTTTCCTACTTCTTATTTTCTCCTTCCCTGAGCCTGTTTCTTCTAGCTCCTTGTCAGATGAAAAAGTATCAGGAAACTGAAGGAAAACAAGAAATCTATCTTTCTAAGAAAGAGTGTTCAATTTTACTGATGACTTGAATGTTGAAATTCTTGTATAGTACGCAATCAAGCGAGCCGTTTGAACAACGGATCAACATCATAGCACACGGGTAGTAACCCATAGATCTCCCCTTTCTTCTAATTCAAGTCTGAATCCGAAGAAGCTCAGCACAGTGCACAGGCTCTGTAGCACCGGCGAGGATCCTGAAAAACTTTGGGTAGATTTGTAATTCTAAATTGTGCCTGGGCAGCGCCGTTAGGCTACCTTTTTTTTCATTTTCCAACTGTCAGGTGATTTTTTACGTGTGCAACAATGCACACTTGCGTCCGATCCCACTACCCAGAGACCAGACCAGGAAGAATTACTAGAAGTCCAAGTTCACGTGAAAAAAATCACAACCCATACCGGGGACTGAACCCAGAACCTCTAGCACTCGAGGCGGCTCGAGCACTCGAGGCGGACACCATGCCTCGAACCACACAGTTTCCCTAGGTTAGACTGCCACCCTGGTAGGTCCCGAGCCTAAATGCGAATGCTGCTCTCATCAAAGCTCACCGAAACTATTGGATTGTCCTCCAGTTCCCCTGTCGAATACATATTCATGCCTAATATATCTTTAATATTTCATGACTTCTGGCCAGTCGTCGACTTCTGTCTCATGTTGCAAATACCAGGCCTATCATTAATTTTCCGGCTCACAGACTGTGACTTTTGATGTGTCTCTCTTGTCTCACAATTGTCTATAAAACTAGTAAACCATGAAATTATATTTGGTGTCTCCCCTTCAGTAGTCTGTAGATGTTTGAGAGCTGTGTTTCCAATTTATATAATTCTCATTATTATTTATTATATAAAGCTATTGTTTACAAGGTGGCATAGTGACCAGGCCTCCAACCGCGGGCCCTAAATTGTTGGTTTAAATCCGCGTCGAACCGATTTCTTTTTCGAAAATACAACCTTGGCTCCAAGATCCGCCCAGCCTAAAATTGGTGCCAGGTAAACTCCTGCTGACCACATCATCAACCAAGCATGCATTGCTCTATAAAATAATATGTCTAGCACTATCTTTCCTGAGGGAACTGTTGTATGAACTGACTAGACGCTTGCCTACCGGCCATCATGTTTTTAGTTTCAATACCCACGAAAACGCAACTGTGTCCCAGAAAAATGACCTTGACTTCCATGTCGACTTAGCTTGAAGGTAACCTCATGGAAGTAATGATGCTTGTCTTATGCTGACCCCGTCATTCTTTGAGTTCGAATGATCTTTAAAATAATCTAGCATTATATGTCTGATGCACTATTAGCGTTTACAAAAATAATTTGTTTGCTACTGTTTATAGAAGTCAGCATTATTGGAGCTGTACACAGTTGTTTATTTTTCTAACGAAATTTATATTTGCGCACATTTTAAATGACTTCTTTAAAAATGTAAATTTGGTGTAGTTGACTGCCTCCTGCATTTAGTTTTCTGTCTACAGCAAGTAGTGAGGAATTGAACACTTTACCCCATTTGCGCATATGGTGCTAGAAACAGTCATGAGTAAACGAGAAGGAGGAGGAAATAAAGACAAAGACAAATGTATGATCCTGTACGTATGTGCTACTAGCCTAACATGGAGACGATGCATTTTAAAACAAATCTTTAATATCCTTGAACAATGAACAGCGTGCAACCATGGACAATTTGGTCTTGTTAGATTGTATGATTGTATAATAATCTGCTACTTGCCTAACATGGAGAATAGATATTTGAAAACGAATTCTTTAGTATAACTTTGAGCAGTGACAAACATGTTTTTATGTAGCTTGCAGCCATGGACAATGTTCTATAGCACTTGTCAGCGTCTTGTTAGCTGGTCAGATGCAAAAATGTGATGGTTATTGATCTTTGCTGCTGGCTAGTTCGCTAGGACTAGCTGATGATTTTTGTTCTTTTGTCAAGCCTCAAACCTAGTACTAGCTGCGTCGTTACATCATGGTAGAGAAATAGTCCATGTGTTGCGATCTACTTCTAGTTCATCCCAGTTACCACAAGTATATTATATTTTAATTACACATACAAACGTATATGTATGTGTGTGTGTGTGTGTGTGTGTGTATATATATATATATATATATATATATATATATATATATATATATATATATATATATATACATACATATTATATACATATTTATATCATCGAGTGCCTTGCCAGCTGCAGCTGGCGTAGGAGTTCATGCATCTCCCCAGATCTCGCTCTTTGGTGTTTTGGATCAATTCCAGTGATGATATTCCTCCATACCACTCCTTCTAGTCATTCACCATCACTTCTTTTGGTCTGCCTCTGCATCTTTTACCATTGATTTTTCCAGTCGTCAAGATATTTTCCAGTGCTCATTTTCTCATCACATACCAAATAACTTTGCTTGTCTTCTTCTCATTGTTGTGTATAATGTTCTACTTTCATTAGCCATTTTTAGGCAATCAATGTTAGTTATTCTCGCAGTCCAAGATAATCGTAACATTCTTTTCAAGAACCACATATCATTTGCCTCTAAAAGTTTCCTGTTTGTATGCTCACATTCCAATATATATACAAGACTATTCAGCTGTTTGTTAATATATATATATATATATATATATATATTATTCATATTTTCCTCTTCTTCTTTTTTATCTTCTTCTTCTTCTGTCTTCTACCCCCCCCCCCCCCACCGTCCACCACCAACTCACACTTTTTTCTCCATGTTTGTTTGTGTGTGTGTGTGTGGGGGGGGGGGGGGGGCGTGTTTTGCCTTTCTTTATTGCTATGCCCCTGTGTGTTCCAGCGCAAAGACATTTTATTCATTTTGTTCTCAGGTTTTTTTCAACATGTGTGTCCTGTCCAACGTCACTTCTTTTCTTCACTTGTTGGTCCACAGGAACTTGTTTAGTTCTCTCCTAAAGCTCTCCATGTTTCCGTTCTATACAAAAGGAATGATTTGACATCAGACAGGAGCCATAGGCGCTTCGGGTATTTAATGATACACTAATATATTTTTAAACTAAACTTTACTCAATGAGTTATTAGGTAAACATCATGCCGGCCCCCTTTACCTCCCGGTACTTTACCTGCTACCTATTTTAGGTAGAGCCGAACTGATAGCCAAGCGCATTGTTTGAAGCAAAACAAAATCAGACTTAGTGCCGACTGAACCCTGGACCTTCTGACCGGAGATAAACGCC